GAGGTGTGGTTAATATACTCAATGAGACTCCACTGGAGAAATGTTAGCAGATGTTTCTTGTCCTGACCACCCATTTCCAATAACCTGGCAGCCACTTCCCAAATTTCCACAAAGAGGCTTATATTAATTATAAATGTTTGTCCAATAGCTCAGGCTTATTACTAACTATCACTTACACTTTAAGTTACCCCATATTCCTTATTTATGTTCTGTCATGTGGAGGTACCACTCTGCCCTTCTCCTTCCCATCATCCTTAGTTCAGCCACCCTGCTTAAACTTCCTGTGTACCTACTGGCCAATCAACGTTTTATTAAACCAATTTGAGTGACAGTGTACAATAGGATTGTCCTACAGCAGAGAAAACTGACTTCTTACTAGTGGGTATCAGTTAGCTTCTCGGTTAGGGGTGAAGCTTTGTGTCCAGTTCTTCTCTATACTGGGATTTCGCCTGGTTTGAACCAATGTTGCCCCTGTGCATGCTGTCACAGTCTCTGTGAATTCATATGTGTGTCAGTCCTGTCGTGACTGAAAGACACTGTTTCTTTGGAGTCATCCACCATCTCTAGCTCTTACAGTCTTCTGTCTCCTCATCAACATGGATCCCTGAGCCTTAAGGGAACAGGTTTGATGAAGATGACCCATTTAGAACTGAGTTCTCTGAAGTCTCTCACTCTCTGAACACTGCCTAACTAGGTCTCTGTTAATTCCCACACAGTGCAACAAGCTGCCTTTCTGATGTGGGCTGAGCAAGGCACTAATCTGTGGTTATAACACTATGTCATTAGGTGTCAAGACTAGAAAGGTCATGGGTCTAGATGAAAATCTATTATGCTGCTAAAAGAACATGGCCACTATGTTTCAATAAGCAGTTCTCAGGGGATATTTAAAATCCAAGCCTTAACAAAGAGTTTAGGTATGTAGGCTAAAAACACCAAATCCCATGGAGCTGGAGAAATGGTTCAGTGATTCAAAGCATTTACTGTTCTTTCAGAGAACCAGGGTTTAGATCCCAGCAGCCATGTAGGGTGGCTCACAGCTACCTATAATTCCAGCTCCAGGGGTAACTGACACCTCTGGCCTCCTTGGTCACCTGCGCTTATATGCACTCTCCCATTCACAGTTAAAAATAATAAGAATAAATCTTTTTAAAAGACACAAATCCTGGTATGATTTTTGGTAGTTATTCCTTCAGTCTACAATGTTAATAATGGCAGGGTATGCTGAACCAGAGGCTTGGCTTGGTATTGGTGAACAGAAAAAAAAAAATCATGCAATGGTAGTCAACATCAGTGACTAATTCCTGCCCCTGGCCGCTGCAGACTGCAGCGGGATAGAGAGGGAAACTGACAGGACATAGGAAGGGAAAGGAGCTTCTCACCTGGGAGTCTAGAATTCCAGGACAATTAACAAAATTTATTGTGAAGGTTGCCTACGTAGAGAGAGTATTCCTTTTATAGAGAGATTTTAAATAAGCATGTTCCTGACTCAAAGGGACAGCAAGTTTCCACTTCAGGAAGATTCTAGAAATGGCATCCTTTCCATTTACAGGGCAGCTTTTCAATGGAGGAAGCAGAAGACATTAATTATTTAAAAGACTACCAGAGTGTGCAGACCCTAACTAGTCCATAGGCCCCTATGTTCATGTTTAAACATTCTTTTCCCTCTTACTCCCTTGTAGGCTTGGAGACAGCATCCGCCTGCCTCAATATAGGAGTCCTTTAAACACTTGCCCATACATGATTTTCAGTGGTTTGATGGGTTTTGGTTTTTGTTGTTGTTTTTTGAGACAGGATTTCTCTGTGTAACACTCCTGGCTTGGACCTCGCTCTGTAGATGAGGCTGGCCTCTAACTGGCTGAGATCCGCCTAGTACCACCTCTCAAGTGCTGGGATTAAAGGCATGGATCACCACCACCTGGCTATCGATGCATTTTTTAAGTGTGATATTTTAGGGTACAGGCACAAGAGGCTCAGCTCTCCACAACTTCCCTTAGTTGAGGGATAGCCTCCTCAACTAAGGCCAAATCAGGCTCTAAATTTGGGAAAGAATTTCAGGATTAGCCAGTTTAGGATGTACAGTTGAAGATTCGATTCTATAGTACTTTCTGATGCTGTGATAGAACAGGACGGTCAAAAGCAACTCCCAGAAGGGTTTGCTGTGTCTTAGGATTCCAGAGGGAGTAAGTCAGCCATGTGGGGAGGAATGGCAACAGGAGCAAGAATCTGGCAAATCATCTTCTCTGATAGATTTATTTTGTTTTCCGTGTACAGCTGTTCTGCCTGCAGTTTGCATGTGTGCCACGTGCCCATGGAAGTCAGAAGAACTGGAGCTACAGATGGCTGCGAGCCACCATGTGGGTGCCGGGGATTGAACTCAGGTCCTCTGCAAGAGTATCCAGTGCTCTTACCCAGTGAGCCATCTTCCCAGCCCCTAAGAGATTACACCTTCAACCATGAACTCTGAACATAGAACCAGAAGTGGAACGGAGCTCTAAACTCCCAAAGCCTGACCCCAGTGACGTACTTCCTCCAATAAGCCTCCACCTCCAAAAGGTTCTATAACCTCCTTAAAATGTGACCAAGTGAAGAACAGATACTCAAACACATAAGCCTATGGAGAACGTTTCTCAGTCAAACTGCCATATCTTGATTTAATATCTGTGTGTATGTTAACGATGTTTGTGCTTACATGTGCATGTAACAGTTGTGCGTTTACCACAGCAGGTGTATAGTGGTCAAAGGACAACTCTGGATGTCAGTCCTTACTGTCTACCCTGTTTAAGAGAGGATCTCGAGAAACCCTGTCTCGAAAAAAAAAAAAAGAGAGGATCTCATCACTACTTTATATACCAGGCTATTCTCAGGCTGCAGACAAGCCATGCACTACTGAACCTGGCTTTATGTGAGTTCTGTGGATCACGGCTTGGGTCTTCATGCTTGCATGACCAACGATTTACTCACCCACTGAGCCATCTCCCCAGTCCATACCAATGATGTTTTCATACAGGACTTGGAGAAGAAAAACACTCAGAAGGAAGCAAGACACCCGGGAAACATGGCTGTGAGCGTCTCAAAGAGGAACTGCAGCCATTGTTTTTTTCAATGTTCTTATATGGGATTTGAGTGGGGGTTGAGTTTACTATCTCATCACAGAGTGTTTCCTACTCTTTCAGAGTACCCGAGTTCAGTTCCCAGTGCTTGGGTTGAGTGGCTCCAGCTGTCTGTAACTCCAGCCAGGGGAGCCTGTCCCTCTCTGGCCTCTTCAGGCACTTGCACACAAATAATAAATCATAAAAAGAACTCCTACACAATAAACACCATTTGCTCTGAAGGCTGTTGACATAATGTTCTGTTCATATAAGATAGTTCAGGTTTATCCAGCAGTGGCCAGGCTTAAGGTCTGAATATGTATTACTTTGAGTAGGTAGGGCCTCTTTTCTGTTCCCAGAAATTGCCTGAAAAGTCTGTAGCAAAGATATCCTGCCTTCCTGAATATTATCAATTATACGCCTCTCAGATTGGACCAGTGGTTTGTAGATGCTTGCACATGTGGAGCCCAGAAAGGTCAACTTCTGGTACTTTCTACATGTTTTTGAGACAGGTCAGTGTTTCGCTAGGCTGGCTAGTCAGTGGGCCTCGCCCCAAGATCTGCCTATCTCGGCTCCTTCAGCGCACCAGGTCCACTCTCACTTTTCCATGGATGCTGGAGATGTGAACTCAGGTCTCACGCTTAGCAAGCACGTTACCAGTGCTTAGCCTCTGTTACTGAGCCGCCTTCCCAGCCCTGAAAAGGATTTTTAAAAAGATGTTGCTCACTATTAAACTTTAAATCTCACATTTGCATCTTACTGCTAGGTCACACTGCCCAGAGTACACTTGAAATGCCTTTTAGTACAGGCTCCAAAATCTACACAGAGAAACCCTGTCTCGAAAACGGAAACTCTGGTATCAAATATTTAGCCGATTTCTTTATATAAAAAATGGCAAGCACATCCATCTCTGTAATATATAAGTTTGCTTTCATAAATAATAGTAAAACTATTATTTGCTACATACATAGCAAAATAATTTTAAGTGAATTTATAATTATCAGTAAATATGTCTTGTATACCTATGTTATATACTTACATACCTGGAGTTGTGTAAGAATTTCTTTGACAAGAAGAAACTGAAAAGTGGAAAGGTTTAAGTCCTGAATTAGGGACTGTACTGTAGGAATTAAATAAAAACAAAAAACTCGGAGGCTGGGGAGGTAGCTCACTTGGTCTAGAGCTTGTTTTAGCATGCTCGAGGCCCCGAGTTCCGTTCCCAACACCTTATAAAAGTTGGGATATGGTTTATTCCCAGCATTTGGGTGGTGAAATCAGCAGGTGCAGAAGTTCAACGTCATGTGCCACCTCAGCGTTTGAGGCAAGCTTGTACTACAGGACGACGTCTCCAAACAAACAAACAAACAAAAAAACTCCACCTCCGCCCTTCTTTCTCCTCTTCCTCTTCTAAGACCCACGTCAGGGAAACAAGTCTGAATTGGAAGTTTCAAGTCTGACGAGGGATTAGCTAGAACTGTGGCTGAGTTGGAAAACTGCAGCTGGCCAACCAGCCAACCCCTGGCCTTTCTTTCTCAGTGTATCAAGAGCAGCACAGGCAGGTCAGGCGGCGCTGGGATGGCAGCTAACATTTACGTGACCAGCCAGATCCGAATCTCAGTGGACTTGAAGTCCCACAACGGTTCAGTAAACAAACCTTGCTCTTCCGGCCTCATTCCTTCTCCCCTGGGACGATGCCCGAACTGGAAACCTGGCGGGCCAGAGGGCGACCTTTGCTCACACCTCGGATGCCCAGAGCGGCTCCGTGCCAGGGGCGGGGCGGGGCACGGCTTCCTCGCCGGCCAATAGGCAGCCCTGGGAGGCGGGCATAGCCTGCGCCCCGCCCCCGCCCCTCCCGAGAAGGGCGCAAGCGCGAGTGAGGTTAACGCCGGAGTGGGCGGGGCGCTGGGGGGCCACGTCCAGCGGCGTAGACAAAGGCGGGCGTGCGCACGCGCTTACGTAGGCCTGGGCCGGCGGCGGGCAGGGCAGGGCGGGAGCGGCAGGCGGCGAGGACTGCAGCCGAGCCTCACGGCCGGTGAGTTGGAGGGACCCGTTCCTGACGGATGCCCCTGGCCCCGGCCGGGCGTGGGACGCGGGGTCGGGGACCGCTGAGGGTCCGGCCGGTGGGGCGGATGCTGCCGGGCGGTGCGAGCTCCTTCCCGCTCCTCTGTCCTCCTCAGCCGGCCCTTCTATCTCCTCCCCTTAGCCGGCTTCTCTTCCCACTGACCACGCTTCTCCCGCAGGCCGCCGGCCGCCTCGGCCTTGCCAGGCCCTCCGCTGAGGAGCGTGACTGAGAACCCGGCGTTAGATCACGTGGAGACGCCTCCACCGGTGGTTCCCCCTGGAATGCACCCTTTCCCCCCCGCTGGGCTCACATTTTTTTTCTTCTCCAGGTCTGTCTCTCCAGCTCCATCCGAGGGGCAGCCCTCCGCTGGTCTGTTCGCTTTGCTGAGCCTCCGCGTCCGCCTCTTTCCCAGCCCTGTTCATACCCCAGACTCCACTACCTCCCCCTTGCTTCCCTTCCCTTCCCCCGGTGGCAGCATCCTCCTGCCTGAAACATTTACCTGTTTACATTTTCCATCTCATTTGGATGTCACTTGTCATTTGGATGGTGGCCCAGAAGTTATAGAAAATCTATGTGAAATGGTTCCGTCCCGTAGTCAACTCTTCGTGCTTATTGTCAGTAGACTGCCACGAGAGCGCTCCAAGAACTCTGGGTTGGAGTTCGTTTTCCTTAATTTTAGCTAGGAACCTCTTGGAGATTGTATTGCAACCCCGTAAGAATGAGCATTGAAATCACTTAAACTGAAGTCAAAGACTGAACAGAACTCCTGTACTCTTGCCCGCTGAGTGTTATTTTCTCTTTCTGAGAGTAACTTTTCTTTTTAGTTCTATATTTGGGAGAATTTCAGATGTACAAAAATAGTATTTCTAGCGAACATAGGCCCATTATTTAGTCTCATCACCATTTTTTTCTTCTGCTATGTCTCAGAAAAAAAAAATTAGCTCTTCTGTATGGATGGGTAGGGTAGGGTTGGTTTTTTTTAGTTTTGAGACAGGTTTTCTCTGGAGCTTTGTAGCCTGTCCTGGAACAAGGTCTTGTAGACCAGGCTGGCCTTGAGCTCACAAAGATCCTCCTGCCTCTGCCTCCTGAGTGCTGGGATTAAAGGTGTGAGCCACCACCACCCGGCTGGTTGGATTTCTTTTGTTTTGTTTTTTTTTTTTTTCCACCAGTGAACTATATATCTCTAGTCCCAGAGAAGTTTTTGATAGACGTGAGCCGTACATGGTTGTAAATTTGCTTTCAGGATGGCCAGTTGTGGGTTTGTAACCAATACAGTAATTGTTGTACAGACGGAGTTTAATGGGAAACAGCTACGTCTAGTTGACATGGTGTCCAGATTTGCTTTCTATTCCACCATGTGCTTTAAATGAGCTATTCATCCAGCAGCATTTGAATGCTTGGTCCCCAGTTGGTGACATTGTTTGGGGATGCTTAGAAGGTTTGGCTTTGAAGTTTCAAAAGTCAAATACTATTTCCACTTAAATTCCTACTCTGCTGCTCGCTTGTGATTTAAGATGTGACCCTTCAGTGTCCTGTAGCAGTTGTCATACCTGTTCTCTACTCTGCCTTCATGGGCTTTTACTCCTCTATAACCACAGCCTCAAATAAACCCATCCTTCTATAAGTTCCTGGGTCATAGTGTTTTATCACAGCAATAGAAAAGTAATTAATAGACAGGGTAGCCAAAAGCAACTCTGAGAGGAAAGGTTCTATATGACCTACACAGCCCAATCATTGTTGATCCTTGAGGGAGGTCAGGACAGGAACCATGGTGGAAATCTGCTTATTGGCTTGCTCAGTGGACCGGACTCTGCCACATCAATCATTAGTAAAGTGCCCCACATACATGCCCACAGGGCAGTCTGATGGAGATAACTCCTGTAGAGGTTCCTTATCCCAAAGTAAATTCGTTGTTGAAATAGGGTTTCTCTGTGTAGCCCTGACTGTCTTTGAACTCATTCTATAGACCAGACTAGCTTCACACTCGGAGATCTGACTGTCTCTGCCTCTAGAGTGCTGGGATTAAAGGTGTGTGTGTGTGTGTGTGTGTGTGTGTGTGTGTGTGTGTCACCACTCCCCGCTTTCCAGGTCATTTAATTTGTGTCAGGCTACAAAAACTAACCAGCACAATTGACCCCTTTTCAATTTGACACAGACACATCACTGTTAAACCATAATTTTTCCTTTCTTGTTTATCCTCAAGACCTCATGTTACTGTAACAGTATAAAATGGCATAACTTTAGACATGCCGCAGTCTTTAAAACTTTAAGATAGGGTCTGAAGTGGTTCTCAGCCTTTCTAATGCTGTGACCCTTTAATATAGTTCCTCATGTTGTGGTGACCCCCAAACAAAATTATTTTTGTTGCTACTTTATAATTTTGCTAATTATGAATTGTAATGTGAAATATCTTAGGCGACCCCTATGAAAGAGTTTTTCAGCTCCTCCAGAGGGTCATAGCCTACAGCTTGAGAACATCATCATGTTGTTCTGAAACTTGCTATGTGCACCAGGCTGCCCGTAAACTCAGAGATCCACCTGTCTCTGCCTCCTGACTGAAATTTGCTTGGCAAAAATTTTCAACACTTTAAAAGTCCAAGGTTTTTTAAAAATCCATACTCTCTTAAACTGTGTCCTGTAGAATGAAAAACGTATGTACGTTCTCATTTCAAAGGAAAGATCCAGGGCACAGTTAAAATCAGATCAAAGCAAAACACATCTTCCAGCTGTGTAAATAGCTTGGCATTTCATAAGTGGGAACTCACTTCTGATCATATGGGCTTGTCCCACTTTTCCATCTCTGATGATAGAGAAAAATACTTTTATCTTTTTATTTTTTATCAGTTGGAAATACATTATTGTCAGAGTTTACCTTTAAAAGTTTTAAATTAGTACTATTAAAATGTAAAGATATGTACAAATTTCATTTTTATGGTAGTTGCTTTTATAAGAATGTAAAAGTGATATGCTAGTTAGTTTGCTTTAGTGATTACAAACGATCCCACTGAGTCTGGGCAGTGGTGGCGCACACCTTTAATCCCAGCACTTGGGAGGCAGAGGCAGGTGGATTTCTATGAATTCAAGGCCAGCCTGGTCTACAGAGTGAGTTCCAGGACAGACTCCAAAACTACACAGAGAAACCTTGTCTTGAAAAGCCAAAACAAGAAGGAAGGAAGGAAGGAAAGATCCTGTTGAACCCTTTATATACAGTTGTCAACTAAAAATTTTTTAAAAACTTGGGCTGGTGAGATTGCTCAGTGGGTAAAGGTATTGGCAGACCAAGTTTGATCCCTAGACACACATGGTGAAGGAAGAGAGCTGACTCCTGCAAGTTATGCTTTGACCCCCACATAGGCAAACGCAAAATGGATTAAATTTTTTAAAACCGTTTTTAAACATTGACCTTGTATGTTTATGTACTTACAGTGTTGGAGATTGCGCCTAGGGCCTTGCACATTGCTAGATACCTGCTCCACCACTGAACCACATTCCCCCACCTCTTGAGTCTTTGAGATAGTTTGATGCAGACTTGGTTCAAAGTCTCCATATAACTGTGGCTGGCCTTTCAGTCTTGCTTCTACCTCCTAAGTTCTGGGATTGCAATGCTTGTGGTGTCTCCCCTAAGAGGACAGTGATTCATATACCTGTTCTCAGTATATGTGTGTTTGTGTGTGAGTGCCGAAGTAGAACCTCAGTCCTTGTGTGTTCTGGGAAGGTTCTCTATTACTGAGCTCTGTCCCTCACCCTTTAACTTTATGTATTTATTGAGTCAGAGTTTAGCTATGTAGTTCTGGCTGGCCTGAACCTCACTGTAGACCAGGCTAGCCTCAAACTCAGAAATCTATGTGCTTCTGCCTTCTGAGTTCTGGTATTAAAGATAAATACTACCAGACCCAACTGCTGTGTTAATCTTTGAAACAAAGTTTCTCTAGTTCAGGCTGTTCTGAAACTCACTGTTATAGCCCAGGATGGCTTCAAACCCATGACCTTCCTGGCTCAGCCTCTCAAGTGTTGATAATTCAGCTCTGAGCCACCACTTCCAGCTTTTTTCTTTTTTGAATTGGCCTTGAACAAAGCATAAACCATTACAGAATGTTTTGAAGACTTTAGTAGGCCCAGGAATGCCAAACATGGTGCCAACAGTGTTTGCTTTGCCCTTCTCCCCATTCCCTCTACCTGCTAAACCGTTAGATTACAGATAACATTCCTAGAGCTAGTCACCAGGGTTTATTCCCTTATTTGGCCACTTCCTCCTCATGAGGCTGACTACCAAGGCCCACGCTATTGAAAGTGTTGAAATCCAACAATCAAAAAGCCCCCTTTTTTTTGTGGCCCTAATTAACATGCCCAATCAAAATTAACCAAGGATCCTAACATTGGGTTTCCCCTTTCCCTTTATAAACTGTCATTTGCCTATGGTCCACATCTGTCTCTTCTATATCCATAGACAATCCTTTGTCCCTCTGGGGCAAATAAATCTCCTTTGTGCTTAGAACTTGGTCTTGAGGTATCTTGTGCTGACTTAAAGATCCTTTCATGTTTAACCAAACCCTTTTCTAAATTAGCTATTCATTTTATATTTGCAGTAGGAGTACAAGAAGATGCAGTAATTGTACATCCCATACTACTTGATAAAGCTGGCCTTTTAGTTTGACACATACTCATGAATGTAAAATGGATCTTATAATTACTAATTTGCATTTCTTTAACACAAAATGAAGAACCTTTTCATGATTGCCATTCATATATATGTCCTCTCTAAGTATCCAAATGGTATCACCACTAATTATATCACCACTAACTTACTGACATATAAATGCTAATATTATTGTGTGTGTGTGTACATGTGTACATAGGTACTTCTGTGTGTTCTGTGGTGTGAGGGTAGAAGTCAGAGGAACAACTTGTCAGTTCAGTCTCTTTATACAGGGTTGCAGTGTGTAGCTCTGTGGCCTGAAACACTGACCTCA